TCTCTGATTTTAAAGGCAATTAAACACACCGAACTCAAATATCTTTCTTCCGAGCTCATTCATTATTTTATCCGAGATCTACACTCTGGCCGTATAGTAAAAGTAAGTAAGTAAGTCTGCATGTATAGTAAAAGACATGTCAAGGTAAGCACAATATAATATAAGGACAAAAAAGTTTTCCTAAGAGCCATTTTAGATAAGGGACATCCGACGTTTGTCGATCGACTTTCGTAAAAGTTAATTTGAATTATATGGGTAAAAAGTACAAGTCATTGTGACTTTTTTGCCGCAAAGGGCGGCACTCTAGCTCAAAGCGTTATTGAATTTTTAAAGAAATGGACACACTTTTTTTCATGATAAACTAGTTATAATTAAATCTGGTGATGAGCGTGCCATTTTTCACCCAAGTCATGGGGAGTCACAAATAATATTTACAGCCTTTTCAAAAAGTACTACTAAAGTGGAGAATTTCTGCACACGTTAAAAAGAATTTTAGTGCTTAAAAATGTTCGCTGCAAGTTACAAGTATAAGCAACAGTTTCAGGTTTTCTTCACTGAAACAAACAGCTCATAATACAGGAAAGGTTTTGAAATTGTTCTTAAAATTTTATTTTGTTGAACGTGATTAAACCATCAACACAATTTTTATTTTTCTTGTAACTATGACTTTGTTTATATTAATTATTCGCTGTGATAACAAAATGGGTGACGTGATAAAATGAAATTAATAATAAAATAATTTATAAATGAAGTGATAAAAGTGTAAGATACCTTTCGTAACTGTTGACAATACTCACAATGAAATGCTCTAGGTAAATATTCTTGAAACAAAGATGAATATTGATTTTTCGCTTCACAATACTTCTGTTAGGTGGATAAAAAAGAAAACTAATACTATAGGAAAGAGAAAAGAGAGACTTCTTCGTTGCTATTTTTACTGTTTTCATTGACTCTTTATATGACCCGTAACTAACCAAGAAAAATAATAAAGTGATGAACGACAAGTCTAGCCTTAAAAACAAAAAAATAAAATCACAAAAAACCCAAAAGAGGTGTTGTCATAATAGTCTAACAGTATTTTTCTTGGGAATTCCATTGTCATTCAGAAATCATAGATATTGTAAGAAAAGAGATTTTAAAGTAAATAAAATCTGTTACTATCATCAAGAGACTGTGATTTTCCAAAGAGGCTGGAGGATGATCTTTTCCCACCTATCACTTTTTAAAAATGTAAATGCTGATCTCTAGTCACTGGGTGACTATGGTCAGAAAGAAAAAAAGAGGAAAATAGGCATATCTAATCAGCAATTTCTTAAAGAAAGTAGGAGAATTTAATAAAAACAATGATGAACCGGAGTTGTCATGCGGCCTCTTGACTTCAAGTCTTCAAAATTAAATACACATATCACCGGAACAAAAAAAAATAGAGTTGGTTTAGAGCTGCTGAAAAGTGATTTTTCGTATTCAGCACACTCGATAACCCAGAAGATTTTCTATTTTTGGCTCGGGGTACTTCCGAAAGTTTAAGAAAACTTTTGAAACAAAATGGCGCAAAAAGTTTTCCATGGAAAAATAATATTAATTTGAAAACTTTTCCTAAACTTTCGGAAATACCTCGGGCCAAAAACAGAAAATCTTCTGGATTATCGAGTGTGCTGAATACGAAAAACCACTTTTCAGCAACTCTAAACCAACTTTATTTTTTTTCCGGTGATATGATAAATTAATCGACTAAAGCCAGTAACTAACGAGCTTTGCTCAGTCATGCAGTTGTCTGTGTGTAGGCTTACTATGCTACTCTTTCTGCAAATGCCAGCGTCGAGGGAAGCACTAATAGACAGATAGGCTCGTACCCACGAACATTTTATTTCTTATGAATCTGAACTTACGGTCAAGGAAGTAAAAACGGCCACGAGTACCGGTGGTGTTTCTAGCTCGACTTTATTCGTCCACTTTTAACATTAAACAACATTATACATGCTAGATCTATACCACCTGTGAAAACATACAAAGTTATTATTACTTAATAATACTGATTAGCACCCACAGCTTTGATATCGTATGTAGACCAGACATTGTTCTTGTTGACTACTACTCGCTCATTTTCAAATGAGATAATATGTCTTACTTACTAACATATCTCCATAATAGGAATAATAGTATAATTTATTATTCACACACTATTTTCATTTTACAGTTCAATCAAAAACATGTTTAATTGGGTTTCACCACCACGAATACTTATTGGTACTGGTGTAATTACAGGGGTCGCCGTCATTGTTATTGTTGTTGCAGTTGTTTCTAGCAAAAAATCAACAGGTACTACAATAGTAGCAACTCTGACAGGCAAAATTCTGCAACAAGAAAGGAAAAACGCTTTACGGTTAAATCATATTAACTTGGACGTACGATGGCCATGAGCTTCTTTCTTTCCTTCTTTTCTGTAGGTATAACAACAACTACCACAAGAGAAAAGGTTCCCTTTAAAAAGAGTGGATTATTATAATATGCATGGTACATTCGCACCAGAGATGGACAAGACAGAGGTCTTTCAAGTCTCAAGTCATTAGTCATATTTTTTTTCTTCAAGTGAAGTCAAGGAGCAGCCTATCTCTGATTGCGACTTAAGCACTGTCTTCTAACTAGTATCACTATTTTTTAGTCTTGGCTATGACATTAACTTCGACGTCAATTGTCGCAGCGACGACTTCTACTTTACCAGAAACAATAACAGGTGGGTTCTATAACTATTCTTTCTTGTTAAAGATTTCTCCAACGAAAATTCTCGTAAGAAGAGATTTTCAAATTTTTAAAAAGCATTTGTTTGTAGTCGTATCTCGCATTTGTTCATGGTCATCATGGATCATAACTACTCCATGTTCCGTCACATGTGGTACCGGTATTTATACTCGGACAAGAACATGTCTAGATCAATATAATTCTGCATGTTCTACATGTGAGGCTATTAACAATCCGGCGTCATCTCAAACGTTGAGATCATGTTCTTTACCAGCTTGTTCTACAGGTTTGTATTAGAGAACAGATAAAATCGCACAAAACAACCGTTTTTTTCGTTGCTTAAACTTGGCCTTAAAATGTGTCGTGTTTGCAGAATTGTGCTACACTCTTTAGACATGACCGGAATGACCTCATGAAAAGGGCAGAATTAAAGCTTCAGAATATAGAAATCAGATTGGGCATATAAAAAAATGGTTATCACAAAATAATGGTTAACTCCTGATGCAATTTATGCGAGAAGCCATTACAAGTCGTGCCGTTATGGTGGGGCCACCTGCAAGTATTCGAAAATTAACATCTTCAGTAATCAACCAAAATTTTATGATAATCATTTTTTATGATAATACGTATTTATAAAGAATGAATGAACGAACTGAATGATATGATGTTTTTGTTCGTTTTTTGTTCAATTTTGTTCATTTTCTGATTACTCCATAAACATAATATCACATTTTTCTTTGTGTTGTTACGTGGATGAACCGACGTTCAAAGAACGAGGGAAACAGAAAGAAAGAAAGAGAAAAATAAGACACTCTTACTCTCTCTTCTTGTTTCTTTATAGATATACAAGTTCATCTTTATACTAACAATAACGCTTAATTTCTATGACGACGAAATTACAAGTAAGTCATGAAACGAATTTCAAATCATATATTCGGTGAATGCTATGAATTTCGTCCGTCATTGTAACATCGTTCAGCAAGACTATTTCCATTAAAAGTATATAAGTAGAAGAAAACTGAGTGACTGTTTCGCTCTATTGATTACACTGAACGAAACAAAAGAAAAATGAAAATTCTTTCTTTCATTTCTATTCAATCGTTGATGTCTGTATCTTGTTGAGATAGTGTATCTTCTGAAGCTGTAACACCGCTATAACGTAAACCTGAAAATTTCAATTTTTCTTCAATAAGGTTCAAAGGACCAGCATAACAAATTTAAGAAAGGTTTTCGTTGCATGAGAAAAATTCGATTTTGCACTGAAACTCGCAATATGCAAAAAATGCCACTAGAGATCTTGAAGATCATTTGCCTATTTATAATGTTCTAGTTGTCTACTGAGATCATGTATCGACTAACTGATTACGTCATGCACCAAAGAATACGTTCAAAAATTGACTTTTTTTGTCACCAAACTTATTATATATCTCTTTACATTACTGTATACGTAGATTATAAAAAAAATGAAAAAGGTTTGATTTCTAGTCTCTTTGTGAAGATATATGAACTCAAAACGTTATTGCGAAAATGCGAAATGCGGTGCCCACGACGTCCGTATTGCATAAAAGTTTGACTTTAATCTTGCTCAAGCATTATTCTCATAGTTTCTAATGCTGAATCTGAAAAATATACTTGCAAAAAGTCAGAAGAACGAAAAAGAAACAAAAATTTGAATGTTTTTGAAACAAGCGTTTTTCGATTTTTTTTGATTTTCTCCCTTAAAAATATCTTTAAAAAATTAAAAACTACTATGTTTTCTTACTCGGCTCTATATACTCTCGCTAACTATGTATAAATAAAGTGAAAGTGTTTTATGGAAGACGCATAAAATAAAACAGTTTCATCGGAGAATAAGTGTCGTAGAGCGGAAACATGTATTAGTCGAACTTGCAATAAACAGCTAATCTTTTTGGCAGACAGGTTATTCGTTGTAAAAATCCACCCGAATTTTGTTCATCGCCACTATCCAGAAATGTTAACGATTGCATCAAACGTGTACAAATAACTTTGAGTTCAAATCGAGCTAGATCCTGTCCGGCGCAAGCTCGATGTCCACCACCAAACGTCCATATTGGTTGGTTTTTATCATCTGTGTCCAAAAATCGTTCGGGTAAAAATTGATCCGGATCCAGTTTCCACAAACGCTTATCACGGTGAATATTGTTTAGGCCGATATACACCGAATCGCCTTTTCGCAATTGAACCCCATCAATCTGATCATCTTCAACAAGTGTTCGCAGTGTTCCATCCATAATCGGTGAAAAACGAAGAACTTCTTTCAGCACACAATCAATATATTCTAATTTATCCAGTAATTCATTTGTTAGTGATGTTTTCTTTGTCACATTGTGCAATTTCAGTTCTTCCTTAATCTTTTCTTGAATAGCTGGGTATTTGCTCATGTGAAAAATGAACCATGCCAAGACCGTCGATGTTGTTTCGAAACCGGCGACTATAGATAACAATATTTCATCAAGCAGTTCCTCGCAGGTTAAGCCTAGAAACGAAGATCATAGAATAAATCAAAAATGGCCACTTTTCTAAGTGAATATTTTCTTTTCGCAATTCTTGTTGCATTTCCTGTCAGGTGCTCAGGGCAGGCGCGAATCTAAGGTTTTTACCAAGACCTGCGGTCGATGAACTCAAATATGATATAAAACTGATATAAAAAGAATACTATCATTGATAGGGAAAATGAACAGCCTTTTCTGCTGATTTTGCTCCAGCACGGGTAGTAACAATGGTAGAGGGGCGTCTGACTCAAAGAAAAGTCATTGTCTGCCAAAAGTAAGTATATACGTAAGGAAAAATTTAGTTATCCGATACCATTTTCATCATCATAAAAACAATAAATTGAAAACGGGAAGTTTAGCGCTTTAGGATTCCAGCTAATTTCCAGGTTTGATCTAATTTACCAGATGGTACCAATGTCTATCGTGAATGAGATCTTTTCTGGAAGTTCATCCTATTTCGGTAAACGGAACAATCTTAGAGTTAATTCTGTAAAGTGTGCCATGGAAACGCGACGAATTAGAAAGCAAAGGTCATTCGTGAAGCGAACATAAATGTCATTTTTTAACTCCTCGGTCGTCTCTTAACATTTGTTAATGATAAAATCCCTCCGAAATTGTGCTTGAAAGATTGTGCCGAATATTTAGTGGTGTGAAAAGCTTGCTGGACAAACCCCCAGTCAGTCATAGCTGTTCCGAAAACGGCAGGATTCCAAAATTTATGAAAAATTCTACGCGTTTAGCGAATTTGTGACACAAACGCGCAAGAAGCCGCGACTGTAGGAAAAGTAACGCGCAAGAACACGCGAGCAAGGCCTCTGTTTCTATGGCAACGTACGCTTCCTGTATGTTATTTTGCCTATACTCGCAGTTTCTTGCGTGTTTGTGCCACAAATTCGCTAAACGCGTAAAACTTTTCGTAAATTTTAGAATCCTGCAGTTTTCGAAATGACTATGACTGACTGGGAAGTCTCCTTCTTATTGGCAAGGACAGTTCTTTAATTCATATCTACTTAGATCCGTTCAGACAGAAAGTGTCTTCAAAAACCAAATATCTGCTTTTTTAAACGACACCATTTTTGAGCATTTTTTTTGTGAACGAACCGGAATTTTTCCTAACTTTTCTAAACTCTCTGAGATCCTTACGCTATTTTCTGCTACGGCATACACGGCGAGAATAATTTGCTCAGTGACATAAAGTGGGCGGATAGATAGTCTCGCTAACCTTGTTTATAATCTCCGCCGACGTCTTCATTGAGCGACGACACTAATAGTGAAATAAGATTTCTGCGTTTCGTGTTGATTGCGTTTTCAATTTCTTGTTCTTTTTCTTGTCTGGCCCGTTCCTTTCTAATAATATCGTCAGCCTCTTTCCGCAGCACAACTAGCGCCTTTTGATACTTCCAATTAAATTTCAAATAGAGTCGACTGAATATAGTGGGTGTTCCACTAAGCAAAAGGATTTTGACAAAATTGTCGACGAATTCCTTAATCGCCAGTCTCACTGGCGACGAGCTTTCTGCCGTTTTTAAATCATAATCAAACGCAATCGATGTTATTATACACAGTAAAAGATCTTGACATTGTCTAATAATGTCGGTCTGCAATTTTTCATTTCCATCTGCACGCCATTTTTGTAGTAACAGTTCGTCTGTACAATCATTTACAGTTTCCAAATACGGAACAACTTTTGATTTTTTGAACATTGGTAACATAACACGAGCGTGTCGCTTGAATTTTGCACCTGTGAGAGCGATAAGCCCATTCGGAGTTAACAGACTAAACGTTTCCGAGGCCAATTTGGCATGATCGTATATGTGACGATGTGCAAATATGTACTGAACATGGTCCAATCGATTGAATGCAACAACACTATGAGGACCAAACCGGTATTTGAAAATATCGCCGTATTTTTCTTGATAGTCTGAAAATATTTGGAAATATGGTTTACCAGAAAGAGCACCACTTTGCAGCAAATTTCCCAATAGAAACTGCGGTTCAACGCCAGGTACGTTGGAATTGTGGTTTGACGCCTTAAAATATTTACGTTTCAAAAAAACATAGACAACAAACGTCAAGAATAGACTCAACAAAACAGTATTAAAAAACATCACATATACTCTGACAATTTTTTGTTCTCGTTCTCAAACTGCACGATANCAGATAAGAAAAAATGAAGAATGAAGAACATTAACTCTAGCTTTCATCGCTTCTTTTTACCGGTCGTTCTATCGAATAAACATCTTTTTGTACACAGAATTAATTCGTCTGACTCATCCACAATTCGCGTTTCAAAGGAATGTGTTAAAAGAACCAACCTGACGTGTAATGTTTTCAAGTGTGCAACACAATCAACAAAACGAAATAAAAAAAGTCATTTCCACTGTGAAAGAAAAACAAAAGAGAACGCAACGTGTTCTCGGTGAGCTAATTCCGTCCAAAGTGATGTGCTGTTCGAATGTGTCCATAACACGCTTTATTCTTTTTTGAATGTGAGAACATTTCGATTGTGAGATACGCATTCCCTCCCCATACGCATGAAGCCCTCAATGATCATTAAGACCATAATGATGATAATAATGACACAAATAATATCGATAATCTAAAACAGGATCTGGATTTTGATCCGAGCAGCGAAGATGACGAACCAGAAAACATAGACACTGGTAAATTTGATTTATCTGACACGTCGGACGGCGACAATAATAATAATAATAAAATAATAATCACACACAGTGATCATCATTCACCTGAACAATAAATGGTCGTAAACCACGAAAAGATAATGAAAAACTTCGAATACTTCGAAAACGATCACCATCGGAAAAATATAAACATAAAAGCAGACGAAATATAATTCGAAACATAAGAAATATATTCTACCAGCATCTACAACAGCAAGTTTTTCATCATCATCCGTTGCACCGATCACCTCTACATCATCAACAAATTCATGAAAATCAACAGCATCAAAAACAAATAAAGAATCATCCTTATAATCAAAATGTTTCGAAAGTCACCAAAACATAAAGCATTAAAAACATCCGATCTCGATCCCAATTCATGGATATGTTACACAAAAAATCGATCATCACCAAGTACAACGAACAATTCAAAGCTATACAACATTGAATTATGAATGTTACCGTAACCATCCGATATTTGGATCAAAATGTTAAAAGCTAAGAAACAGAAACGTATAAGGTCTACTTGAGACCAAAAGCTGACATGAAAAGCGCGGCGACGTTTGGAGATCATCTTTCGTTAATATTTAGTGAATTAGATTGAGTACTATTTGACAGTCCATAATTTGACTTTTCATTGTTGTGAACTTAATTGAACGAAATTATGAGGTAGCATCGGTTGAGCCGTCAGAAGAAGCTCTAAATAACTTGTAATAAGGATGTGCGAAACTATCGACAGTTTCTCTTGTATGGAAATGCAGGTTTATCAGTGGCGGATCCGGAATTATTCTTTGATACTGCGGTATACGATAAAAGTGCGGGGTACGAGTGATCTTCATAAAAACAAATTATTCTAAGAGTTCTGTTGGGAAAAAACAGTTCTTGGTTGAAAAGTACCAGCGACTGCCCGTACCGCTTGAAGGCGGGATCTGCCACTGAGTTATAATTGATGTGTCCAATTGATTATTCATCATAAATGTTAGCTGAAATTTTTCAGTCGAAAATTACAGAAAAATTAGTAACTTTCAGCTCACTAAATAAAGGAAAAATTAAGGTATTTGGTTACTAAACTTTAGGTTAGCACAGATAGGATGATTTTTATTAATCGTTCGATATTCTTTACGATGAGGGTGAAGACATACATATCCTACATATAATATATATATATATATACTGTTCGATATGTATATGTAGAATATATGAGGGTGTCAGAATATCAGTCCGCAGTGTATTCTCAAAAAGCAACCATTTTTTTTAAACTTATTGGGCTTGCCGGGCTTGGTGTATATACCAGAATACGCAAATATATAAAATTCCATAAAAGGACCTGGTGTATTCTCATTGACAATCAATACACGACAATACACAAGTGTAAGAATTTTCGAGGTGGAGCTTCGAATTAATGATGCACCACCCACCCCCTTAAGAATATTATTACACCAAGCCAGCAATATCTATAAATATTAAATACACCAAGCCCAGCAAGTTTAAAAAACATGGTCGCTTTTTGAGAATGCACTGCGTGCTGATATTCTGGCATCCCTGGGATATGTAGGAAGTATGGGAGCTATTCAACAAATATCGAGTGGATGGGTCAGCGGGCATAGGGGTGGGACAATTCCAGGTCCTATAGTTCCTAAGAACTGTCACTAGTTCAGCACGTGTTGAACTGATACCAATTCTTTTCAAGAATTCAAAGTCAAATAAAACCGATGTAGCTAGTTAAATTGACCTGGATTTCTCAGAGGACCAATTTGGTTGGATTTTTCCAAAACCAACACAGGTCAAAGACGATATGCAAATTTTAAAAAACTATGTCGTCTTTAGCGAAAGCTCGTAGAGCCTCAATTCACACGCTGTTCGAATACTCTAAGGTCCCTCTTCGAAATAACAAAGAGCTTTATCCGAAATATGATATTTGTATTGCATGAAAGTTCAGTTCTGTTTGAGAAAAATAAGAATTACTAGCAGGATTTCGACTTTTTCGCCTTTGAAGAGGGACCTCAAAGTATTCGAACGGCTTGTTAATTGAGGCTCTACGAGCTTTCGCCAAAGACGACATAGTTTTTTAAGATTTGCATGTCGTCTTTGACCTGTGTTGGTTTTGGGCCCTCTGAAAAATCAGATTCTTGTTTCGGGGATGTGAGACTTAGTTTCCGAGATTCAGTTTTCAATTTTGGATCTGAAAAACGTAGTCTCGAGTGCGGAAACCACAACGAGGAGAAACTGTAATCGAATTTCTGGAACCTTGTTTTTTTCGGGTTTTCCAGAACTTGTCAGTATTTTGAGCATAACTCCGTGAGGAAAGGGTTTTGGGAGGCGGGGTACACACATTCGTGATCCTCATTCAATTCTGCATCGAATGAAGCGTTAAAAACACACAAGTTTTTTTAATTCTTTAACTTGCCTGCCGTGCATCTTAGAAGATCTCAAAATAAATTTTAGAAAATCCTAAGATTTTCTACAAGGGTTTCTGGAAAACCTATTAACAAAACTATGCTTTTAGATTTTTTCAATCTTATAATCACGTTTAGCAGACAACATTAATCATATCCTGAAATTTTTTGCGATGAAGTTTTGAACTCTTTCTGATATTTTTTGAGTAAACAGTGAATTTTTTAACTTTTTAATGAAAACAGCCTGAAAACCATACTTTTCGTAAAACTGACTTTTCGGTAGATTTTTAAAACCTTTTCTAAAAACAAATATTGCCACGAGACTCAGCATGGTCGATTATCTATAGTCCATCCGTCTTTAAGGTTACCAAGAAGAGTCACCGAGTGCCAGTCCTGGGATTCGTCGGAAATCCGATACAACGCCCGAAAAAATCAATACATTCCCATGTGAATTTCAGCAAACCCAAGCTAGTTTTCCAAAGATGTTCTAAAAAGTCACTTCAGAAGTTTTTCCAAAATTTACTTTTGCTTACAGAAATATGTGGTCAGATAGAGTCAGTTGGGGGAAATCGGATCAATTTTGGAAAATTCCGTATTGTTTTGGTAATAACTCTGTTTGTTAATTCCCGTAACAAGAGAAAAGGTACGCGAGCAATTTGTACTAGGTATGCTACAAACCCAAACCGCTTGGGTGTAAAGACTTGGGTATCCCAAAACCAAACCCAATTATTTGGTTGCATTTGGGTTTGCAACATACCTACTACTATCCATTCAAAACCACGGTGCTAGTGGTTGTTTTA